GGGCAAGTAACAACAGTGCGATGTTTCCAATAGCACCAGCGCTTTGCAATATCGGGCACTCAACACAATTGTGTCGACGCGATAGCCGTACCGCATTATCACCGCGTAGGTGTTCGCGGCGGCGGCGGCGGCGCTGCTCCGTGTGGCTGCGAGCGTTGTTTGGCGCGATGTCCGATGTTTCGCTGGGGGGGGGGGGGGTGGGAGGCCTTGTTCAGGAACTGAACTGAGAAATGTCGGTGGGGGGGCGGGGGGGGGAACCAGAAAACGCACCGTAGAGAGAGAGAGAGATCAAAAGAAATCGTCACCGCGTTGTTGTGGCGAGAACAGGCAGCGTCTTTCAACCGTACACACGGTAGCGGGTGCGGTTGGTTACACCGCGAGCAATGAATGGGGGTGAATGGTTGCGTGAGCAAAGCCGCGGTGATTTATTCCAGACCGGGGTGGGGGTGGGGGGCGGGTGGGTGGTCGGCAGCGAAAATAACCCCCCCCCCCCCCCCTTTGCCCAAAAAAGAACAAAAATCAATATTTCAAGACGCGCGCCGTCTCGTGGTCTCGTGTGAATACGACGCGGGTCCTGAATAAATAAACGGTCCCGAAGCAGTCCTCAAAGAGCCGCATGCGATTCCGGAGCCGCAGCTTGCCGACCTTCCGCCTCCCCCCCTGGTCCCAGAGACAACCTTGGACTCGCGAGTTCGTGGTGCGAGCAGGGGTAGAGGGAGCGGGAGGGAAGGACAATGCCAGCATCATTGCCGAATCCTTTTCACCGCGTGACTCCGGGATTGGGGTTGGTGGGGTGGGTGGTGGGGGTGGGGTGGGGTGGTGATTGATTGCTTCTGTCTTGAGACACGGGCCGAGATCGATCGATCGATCCATCGTTCCACGAAGACCGCGGGCAGCAGTGGTATCGGCAGCAATCTCGCGCGTTTCTTTCAATTAAGTTTCGCCGGTTAACATCGCGTTGAATTGCCATGACCGGCGGAGTCCCCGAATGGACTTCAACAGACTGTTAGGGCAAGTGCTGTTAGCGAGCAGCATCGATGAAGGCGGGCACACGAGGGTGTGGATGGACGGTTACGGCGCCCGGCCGCCTTTGTCTCCACAGTGCTGATGCTTTATACACCGCACCAGGTACAATACCCATTTATGGCGGAATCGACCCAGGGGGGGGCAGAACCGGTTCAGGTAATCGTCACCGGTGTTGGTGGCCGTGAGCGGGAATCGAACTCGGGTCGCCGGGTTTGCAGCGTGGCGCGCTAACCACTCCACGACCGCTCCCCCCCCCACATAACCGGTAACAGTATGAGAGAAGAAAAAAACACTCCGGTGAGAAACCGGTTTGAACCTCAATGGGCTTCAACTCCATAGAGGTTTAAACCTCCATGGGCTTCAGGCGATGAGACGTCTGCGCGCCGGGGATTTGGTGTGCCAGTATAATTCTGACGTGGTGGGCGCCGGCGGTAGCGCGTTCGCCGCTCGGTGCGGACGTCCGCGATTCGAGATGGGCAATCCGCCCCGGCTGCCACCGTGGTGTGGGCCTGAGGCGTAATGCACGGCGCAGGCCGCCTCCACGGTGGACGTTAAAGATTTCCTGGACGTCATTCGACAAGAGGAGGCCATTGCGTTGGCGCGGAAGTAACGGTCCAAACTTTCCAGGTTTTAAAAACAGAAAATCGACGACCCCCTTCACCCCCGCCCCCCCCCCTCAAATGACCCAATTGGGATTCTGCACAGGAGCAGGCCACGTGCAGAGTCACCTGGTTGGTGTCCTTCGAATGGTTGAGATGAGAGGTGATTGTAAGGCGCTGTGACTTGCTCAGGCATGCGAGTGTCCTATCGATGCAATGATTATTATTATTATTTTTTATCAAGAAGTGTAGTGTGTGATATTCTGACCCGTGTGGGTCACCGCATCGGTGTGATGTGTTGCGCCACTCATGAGCCCAGGGTGTGCGGCATTCAGTTCCTTGTGAGCGTTTAATGAATCCGATTTCCCGGCCAATCGTCCCAATCGCGCGAGTGGCGGGCAACCGGATTTCTGCTCTCACGACTCGATGCCATCACGACGCGCGGTGCGCGATTCTCCGGCAAGCCGTCTGGGGTAGTCTAGCCTGGTGAGATCATACCCGAGCGCGTTCGAGCCAACAGTTCGGAAGGCGAGGCGCCGACCGGACTATTCACTCGACACTCGATCACGAACCCCGAGTGGTGGTGGTGGTGGTGGGGTTATCGTCGAACGAAACCCGCTTTCGTGATCGTTCGCCCAGCTCTCAAAGTCAGGAACGCGGCCATCGTTCACCAGTTGAACGCCAAAAGCGGAACGCGCCGCGCGCCGAATTGGCGTGTCGCCTGCCCCATCACCGCGTGGGTAAAGTTTTGCCGCCACCACCACCCACCCCCCATCATTTGTTTCTCAGTCGAACAAAACGCAATCACTATTTTGTTTTTGTTCGCGCTTGATCGCGAGACGTTTCTGTACTTGCGGCAAAAAAAGAAGAAGAAAAACCCCCCCGTTAACCGTTTTGTTTCATGCGGTTATACCGGAACTATGGGAGCGAAAAAAAACAATGACGATTAAAGAAACGGTATGGACCATCCTAGCATGTTTACCACTCTATTGAGTAAAAAAAAAATATATTTGCGATTTCTTATCTTGCTAAGACAATGTTTGCCGTCTCCACAGAGCGAACGTCGGTATCGGCGCCGACGATCCGGCATGGAAATTCACCCCCCCCCCGCCATCCCGTGGCCAGTGCCAACAACAACAACAATAACAACAACAATAACAACAACAACTCAACATCAAGGGTGATCGTCACACGCAAGGTGTCCAAAAAATATATATATTTGGGTAACCCGCGGCAGTCTTGGTAACTTTTTTTTTGTAGTTTAGAATAATGCCGTGGTTTGCTATAGGTGGACGGTGCAATATACATGTGTACGGTGTGTGTCGTGAAACCTATACTATACCTGTGCTGTGTACCCCGAGTGAGGATGGATGTGGTGTGATTGCATTTTAACTGTGGTCTGACGGGCCCCCTCCACTGCGAGGGTGAAGTGTAACCAGATTATACTCTAACTTGTAACTTTTGTCAAAAACTGAAAAAAACGTAACATGTGGCTGTACCCAATGGACCAAAATAAAATAAATCCCCTTTATCAAGTGTTCTCTGGCGTGCTTTGATGGTCGGCTACGTGCGGTGCGGAAGAAGTTCAACGTCCGGTACGGTGTCTGGCCGCTAAGTTGATGGTCGTCTGCCCACTGCATTGGGTACCTTGCGCCGCCCACTGAGATTAGCCAGTGGGGGAGGGGGGGGCCTGAACATCTTGGCATGAGACCTCTGTGAGGCTCTTCCGGGTAAACGAGCGGAGCAATACAGAGTCGTGAATACGGAAATAATGCGTGGCTATACCGGTGCGCTTCATTGGCTTGCTCTCTTGGTGAGGAAAGGTGACGATTTGTTTTGGCACCGATTTTTATTTTGGTTGCCTCTGCTCTGACCAAAATAGATGTCAGAGTGGAGACCACCAAATAGATGTCAGAGTGGAGACCACCAAATAGATGTCAGAGTGGAGACCACCAAATAGATGTCAGAGTGGAGACCACCAAATAGATGTCAGAGTAGAGACCACCAAATAGATGTCAGAGTGGAGACCACCAAATAGATGTCAGAGTAGAGACCACCAACTAGATGTCAGAGTAGAGACCACCAAAGAGATGTCAGAGTAGAGACCACCAAATAGGTGTCAGAGTGGAGACCACCCAATAGATGTCAGAGTAGAGACCACCAAATAGATGTCAGAGTAGAGACCACCAAATAGATGTCAGAGTGGAGACCACCAAATAGATGTCAGAGTGGAGACCACCAAATAGAAACAGGTTCCATAACAATCGCCACTGTTGAAACAAAAAGCAATCCGAGAGTCTTTGATATACCAAACAAAATGTATTCTGTTTACGATTATTGATTCCTACACTTGCTGTTACCCGCGAAAGCATCCCTGAGTCTCAAGGCTCTTTTTGAGGAGGGTCCTGCCAAGTTTTCGGCAGTAGGGGGGAGTCAGCGATGACTGCTCGGTAGATTCCAATCTAATTATAATAGTGTTGAACTATAAACTAATTGACATGTTTTTGCTTACGTGACAAACCTTGCTAATTGGTTTTGTCGGTTGGTGGCGGTTTTAACGACACATACTTACGAGATCTAATAAAAAAAACTCTACTACGGACAATATCGGTTGCGAAATGGTTGGGATCTCATGGTTGTGATCGAATCCACGACTTCCTGCAAATGCGTACTCCGATCCTGGCCACGTGAGTTCTCACCCCGTGTTAAACAAAAACCCCAACTTGCATACCATGTCAACCCATACGGTTTGCCCGTTTTCGTGTGCAGAGAAATCGAGTTTTCAGGTCCCTTGTGATGGGACTTTGTAGGATGAACGTTGAGATTTATAAGGGGCACGGGATGACCAATAAGATCTGAATTGGTCTGTAACAAGGTAGGCACTGATAAGGGGTTGACAGCAAGGCCGTAATTATAATATATTTAAATATATTTAAATATATTCAAATATTCTCAAAATGCCCCCCCCCCAATAGATTTCTATAAAATAAATTTATGTTTGTATGATTGTGGTTATGGTTGTACTTTATTAATCCTTAATCTCTGCCATTACATACAATGAAACAAGAAAAGGTAAACAAAGAAAAAAACAGAGCAATGTAATCCAACACACTATTAGACATTATTGTAAAAAAAAAAGTCCATCCAATGTGTTAGTTCATTTTTTTAAATATTTTAGGCAGGAAATTAGTTTTCAAATTTAGATTTTTTTTCTGGGGGGGGGACCCCAGACCCCCTGGAAGATTTGGTCCCCCCCAAAGTTAACTCCATGGCTACGAACCTTGGTTGACAGGGAAACATCTTAAAGCCTGACCTGCCTTGTGTGCCCATGGACCTTGGTTCACAAACAGGTGACACCTCAAATTGAAAACACAAGCCCGCGGGCGCGTCGCGTTGGGTGTGAGCGAGACAGAGGCTTGCGCATGCGCCGTGGGGTTGGAGGGAGGCGGAAAGTGTCCGGGCCGCCATGGAGAGCCTCGCCACGTTGAGCGCGGCGATCCTCACGCCGCGATGCCACGAGCAGCTGTTCGTGCGACTGAATCTACTCGACGGTGTGTGTCACTGTTGTGTGTGTTACTGTGTGTGTGTTACTGTGTGTGTGTTACTGTGTGTGTTACTGTGTGTCACTGTGTGTGTTACTGTGTGTGTTACTGTGTGTTACTGTGTGTGTTACTGTGTGTCACTGTGTGTCACTGTGTGTGTGTCACTGTGTGTGTTACTGTGTCACTGTGTGTTACTGTGTGTGTCACTGTGTGTGTCACTGTGTGTGTGTCACTGTGTGTGTCACTGTGTGTCACTGTGTGTGTTACTGTGTGTGTTACTGTGTGTCACTGTGTGTATCACTGTGTGTTACTGTGTGTCACTGTGTGTTACTGTGTGTGTCAGTGTGTGTCACTGTGTGTGTGTCACTGTGTGTCACTGTGTGTGTGTTGCTGTGTGTGTGTGTTACTGTGCGTGTGTCACTGTGTGTGTCACTGTGTGTCACTGTGTGTGTGTTGATGTGTGTGTTACTGTGTGTGTCACTGTGTGTGTGTTACTGTGTGTGTGTGTGTCACTGTGTGTGTGTGTCACTGTGTGTGTGTGTCACTGTGTGTGTTACTGTGTGTCACTGTGTGTTACTGTGTGTGTGTTACTGTGTGTGTCACTGTGTGTGTGTCACTGTGTGTGTCACTGTGTGTCACTGTGTGTGTTACTGTGTGTTACTGTGTGTCACTGTGTGTGTCACTGTGTGTTACTGTGTGTCACTGTGTGTTACTGTGTGTGTCACTGTGTGTGTCACTGTGTGTCACTGTGTGTGTGTTGCTGTGTGTGTGTGTTACTGTGCGTGTGTCACTGTGTGTGTCACTGTGTGTCACTGTGTGTGTGTTGATGTGTGTGTTACTGTGTGTGTGTCACTGTGTGTGTGTTACTGTGTGTGTCACTGTGTGTGTGTGTCACTGTGTGTGTCACTGTGTCACTGTGTGTGTTACTGTGTGTGTCACTGTGTGTGTCACTGTGTGTCACTGTGTGTGTGTTACTGTGTGTGTCACTGTGTGTCACTGTGTGTGTGTCACTGTGTGTGTGTCACTGTGTGTCACTGTGTGTGTTGCTGTGTGTGTGTTGCTGTGTGTGTTACTGTGTGTGTGTGTCACTGTGTGTCACTGTGTGTGTGTCACTGTGTGTGTCACTGTGTGTGTTGCTGTGTGTGTGTGTCACTGTTGTGTGTGTTACTGTGTGTGTCATTGTGTGTGTGTCACTGTGTGTCACTGTGTGTGTCACTGTTGTGTCACTGTGTGTGTGTCGCTGTGTGTGTGTTACTGTGTGTGTGTTACTGTGTATTTGTTACTGTGTGTCTCTGTTGTGTCACTGTGTGCGTGTCACTGTGTGTCACTGTGTGTCACTGTGTGTGTGTCACTGTGTTTCACTGTTTGTGTTGCTGTGTGTCACTGTTGTGTCACTGTGTGTCACTGTGTGTGTGTTACTACTGTGTGTGTTACTTTGTGTGTGTGTCACTGTGTGTCACTGTGTGTGTCACTGTGTGTGTGTCACTGTGTGTGTTACTTTGTGTGTGTGTCACTGTGTGTGTGTCACTGTGAGTTACATATTTCAGTGGGGCCTTACCATCAGCCCCACCAAAACTAAGCACCTGCCTGGGTATTTTGTACCATCGGACACTCCACCCCCACAACTCCCAATCGGTGATGGGGCAGTTGTGGAGAGAGTGGAGAGTTTCCCATACCTGGGCAGTGTGCTTATGACTGGCTCCAGTTTAACAGCAGAGGTCTCACTCCGAATCAGTCGAGCGGCAATATCTTTTCATCGGTTGCGTAACGCTGTGTGGAAGCTACCTGGTCTGTCGCTCCGCACTAAGCTTCAGGTCTTCTCGGCCACGGTCATTCCCTCCCTTCTCTACGCTTGCGAAACGTGGACCCCCCTAATGGAACATCTTCGCCGGTTAGAAACATTTAGGCTGGCCTGCCTACGATCCATCCTGGGTTTAACCAGACTGGATTGTGTGAGGAGCTCACAAATCCTTGAAAGATCTGGGCAAGGTCCCATCGGAGAGCTCCTCCGGCGGGCAAGGCAGCGATGGCTGGTCATGTAGCCCGCATGCCCAGCCACCGCATGCCGAAACAGCTTTTGTTCGGCCGGATTGAGGGGGCTAAGAGGGCGCGGCACGGGCTAGAGAAGAGATGGAGTGATGTGGTACAGGAGGACGTGGAGCTGAGTGGACTTGCCGATGACTGGTACCAGCGGTGTCAAGATCGGCCTCTGTGGAGGAGGCTCGTGAAGGATGCTACTGGGCAGTTGGAGGCAGTCGCCCTCCAACAACAATGGAGGGCGGAGGAGCGACGCTCAGAACAACGAGCGGAGCGCCGGGTGGCTAAAGCACAGCAGGTTGGCACAGGGGGCACAGGTGGTGCATCAGCCAGTCATCTCAGTCAGTCGACCCGTGGCACCTGGGTCTGCCCCGTGACCTCCTGCCAGCGGGCGTTCGACACTTCACGTGGCCTCAGGGTGCACATAGCCTGGCACAAGCGTCGTGGTGACGTCACCGCCACTTAGTGGTGAATGGCGGTTGTTGTTGTTACTGAGTGTGTCACTGTGTGTGTTACTGTTGTGTCACTGTGTGTGCCACTGAGTGTGCCACTGTGTGTGTTACTGTTGTGTCACTGTGTGTCACTGTGTTACCGTGTGTGTCACTGTGTGTGTGTCACTGTGTTACTGTGTGTGCCACTGTGTATGTCATTGTTTGTTACTGAATGTGTCACTGTTACTGAGTGTGTCACTGTGTGTGTCACTGTGTGTGCTTGCTAACAGCACTTGCCCCTGCAGTCTGTTAAGGCTATACAGTGGGATCTGTGTCTTTGCCACTGAGTGTGCCACTGTGTTGGGGGAAGGGGTACACTGCTGGTGGTGCATCTACCGGTCATCTCAGTCGGTCAACCCATGGCACCAGCTGGGTCTGTCCAGAGACCTCCTCCTGCACCTAGCCTGGCACAGTAGGGGTACAACAGCTGGTGGTGCATCTACCGGTCATCTCAGTCGGTCAACCAATGGCACCAGCTGGGTCTGTCCAGAGACCTCCTCCTGCACCTAGCCTGGCACAGTAGGGGTACAACAGCTGGTGGTGCATCTACCGGTCATCTCAGTCAGCCAACCCATGGCACCTGCCAGGTCTGTCCAGAGACCTCCTCCTGCACCTAGCCTGGCACAGTAGGGGGTACAACAGCTGGTGGTACATCTACCGGTCATCTCAGTCGGTCAACCAATGGCACCAGCTGGGTCTGTCCCGAGACCTCCTCCTGCACCTAGCTGTCACTGTGTGTCACTGTGTCACTGTGTGTCACTGTGTCGGTGTGTATGTTGTGTGTCACTGTGTGTCACTGTGTCGGTGTGTATGTTGTGTGTCACTGTGTGTCACTGTGTGTTGTGTGTCGCTGTGTGTATGTTGTGTGTCGCTGTGTGTCACTGTGTCGCTGTGTATCACTGTGTCACTGTGTGTATGTTGTGTGTCACTGTGTGTCACTGTGTGTGTCGCTGTGTGTCGCTGTGTGTCACTGTGTCGGTGTGTATGTTGTGTGTCACTGTGTGTCACTGTGTCGGTGTGTATGTTGTGTGTCACTGTGTCGGTGTGTATGTTGTGTGTCGCTGTGTGTCACTGTGTGTATGTTGTGTGTCACTGTGTGTTACTGTGTGTATGTTGTGTGTCACATAGCTCTCAAGCCATATGGTTCACCCCGTATTCTTGTACAGGGAAATTGAGCTGTCGTGTCCACGGGCACAAAAAAACGTGTTCTTTGTGTTTATCCTCTTGTGATGGGACTTTGTAGGATGAACGTTGAGATTTATGAGAGCACGGGGTGACCCATGAGGTCTGAATCGGTGTGTGATAAGGTAGGGCACTGATAAGGGGTTGACAGGAATGGTGTCACTGTGTGTTGGTGTGTGTCACAGTGTGTGGAACAGTTCGTTTTGCACTGACTTATATTGCTTCGTTGCTGATACAGTACTTTATTTCAAAATCAATGTTGTGACTCCAGGCCACTCTTGCAAACAACAACCATGAAACTGTTATTTTTATTTTACCAGGTAAGGCCCCACTGAGCTACGTAGCTTTTTCAGAATCGACCTGACGATCACAAATGATAGCTGAACGAAAGTGGCTCATCATCGCGTGGAAATTAATGTCAGCCAAATACTTTAAACGCGTGATGTTCATTCTAAATGTGGAGGAACGACTCGGGAGAAAAATCCACTGCACTGTGAACCCTGCGAGCCGAGTTTAATTCCCGCTCACGGCTAATAACAGCGGCGAACGTATCTGAATCGGCCCAGGGCACGTGACTGACTCCCCCCATGTAGACTTGGCCCTAAATGAGGACGTGGTGCGGTGTGTAAACACCAACAGTGGGGGGGCAAAGGTCGGTGGTGCTGGCCACCCACCCACCCACTCTCTCTCGTGCCTAACTTCATGGGTGCACTCGCAAAAAATGTTGCAATTTGGTTGGGCAATTTCACGTGAAACCGCGCCAAGCATCATCAGGACAAGCTCCAGGAAGTCAGAATCACCGTGTCACCAGACTGGACTTCTTGAATAAGGCGTCGTGACTCGCTGGTACAGGCGAGCCTGTTCACGAATCGTTATAATACGCACAATGTTAATCGTTGCCCCAGATACATTGGAACACAATTTGAATTAATTCGTCATGGGTAATGTACTGTTTATAATTGTGAGGTCATGACACCTATTTTAAAAAAAAGCCTTGGTCGGGTGACGGAGTCACTCTCACTTCCCGGGTTTAATATAATTTGATGTCGACGGGTTATTAGGGGGAGGGTGACACGGATTCATGTGACCCAACAACCCTCCACTCCACAGTTCTCGATGACAAGGTGGGGAGTTAGAGTTGCGGCTATTGCTGTATGTATGTTGGAACATGTTTCGCACCGTATGTAGCCAACCGCGCTAATCGGAGGCGCAGGGGGAAGGACAACAAACCTAAACACAACAAGCATAGTTGGAAATAAAAATAAATTTCCGCACCTCTGATTAGCACGGTTGCCTATGTACGGTACGAAAGAAGTTCAGTATCACACATGCTAACGAAATGAGTTTTGTCAATCCAGATGATTTAAAAGTGCATGGCTCCAGCGGTGACCTCCGCCTCTGTTCGGGTGGCCAGCCAAAAAAAGTTTGATGGTTAGCCGACAGCAAAAAAAAAAACGATTGCCACTGTCCTTTAAGTTGGCACCTTTTTGTCCTCACAGTGCCCTGCCTCAAGATCCTCATCAGCAAATGTCTGGGCATGGGCATCATCGCCGGCTCCGTCATGGGTGAGCGAACACGCATACCCGCACGAGACCAGCCTGGTTCAAGTATGGTCGAACAAGCGCCCGTGATCAACCGACGCTTTGCCGGCAGGTCGTCGTCCCTTCACATGACTCGGTCCTCGTTCACACGTGCCGCAATTGGTCGCGTCCGTCCTGGAACACTAATGCCCACTTGCCGCACAGGGACAGCTTCCACTGGGTGGGCAGTGGGGGGGGGGGGCGGGGGGAGGGGTCCCCTAGGCAAGACGGAGAGAAAAAATAACTACAAGGCAGGCTTTGGAATGATTGAGATGAGATGTGATGGAAGGCACTTGGAGATGCAGGGGGCATTTACGCACGGAATACATTTTGTGTGCCGTACCGGCCTTCATAGGTGCTGCTCGCTAACAACACTTGCCCCAACATACTGTTGAGGCTACACGGGGGATCTTTGTTTTTATCTTTTTGAGCTAAAGCGCTTCGTGTGCGCTGTGCAGTGTGTCATGTGCCCTGTGCTGTCTGTGCACGTGCGCTGCACGTGGTGTGCTGTTTGAGTGTGCGTCACGTGCTAATGGGCTGTGTGTGCGCTGTGCTGTGCGGCATACTGTGTGTGCGTGCGCTGTTCCGTGCGGCGTGCTGTGTGTGTGCGTACGCTGTTCCGTGCGGCGTGCTGTGTGTGTGCGTACGCTGTTCCGTGCGGCGTGCTGTGTGCATGTGTGCGCTGTGTGTGTGTGTGCGCTCTTGCCGTGTGGTGTGCTGTGTGTGTGCTGCGCGCTGGGCGTCGGTGGCAGTGAAGCTGCCGCAGATCATGAAGGTGACGCGGGCGCGTAGCGCGGCCGGGCTCAGCTTCCCGGCGGTGCTCACCGAGCTGTTCGCCATCTCGGGCACCATGGCCTACAGCATCGCCAACGGCTTTCCCTTCAGGTGGCGGTCGCACGCGGAAGCACCCTGTTCCTGCCTCGCCGCACTCGGTAGAATTCAACGTAGAGCAGAAAGTTGGCGTGATTGGTGATCCAGCGCTCACCGATTCACTCCAGTCACTCTATAAACTGTGGTTTGTTTTACCAGGTAAGGCCCACTGAGATATGTAGTTCTTATTCAGAACCGACCTGGCTACATATGGTAGCTCAACAAAGTGGCTTATCATGTGGACACTTATTGCAGCAAAATACTCTCCAACGCATATTTCTAAATGTGGAGGGAAAAATCCACGCGACCCAGGGGAGAACACGCATAATCCAAATATACATCAGCAGGCGTCAGGGTCGGGATCGAACCCATGACCTCCTGTATACCAGGCGAGGGAGTAACCACTCGCTAACCGGCGGTCAGTCGCCCCCTTGCCGAATCTTCGATCGCTGTGCTAGCCCTCTCACTTTTTCCCGTTTTCTTTGACGTAACGTTCAGTAATTTTGCGTAAATCGTGCACAGTGGGGTCCTGCGCCATTTGGTGGAATCGAATAATCAGGTGCCCTTTATTTTACAAGGTGAGAGCTCATGGGGGGGGGGGGGGGGGGGTGGGGGGAAGAAGGTCGTTAAATGTGGGCTCATGCTGGTCTGCTTCACTTAGCCCCGTACCAGCGGAGTACAGTCGTACTGTTAATGGCTTTTCGGTTAACGTTTCGCCTCCCATAGAACCCCCGTGGTTCCGACTAACGTTAAAATGTTGACTAATGGGTACATTTGCGTTGTGCACGCGGGTGCCAATTTCGGCCAATCCCCGAGCGCTCGTAAGTGGGGCCGAGCCATTCCCTCGGCCAATCAAGGACGCCCATTTGTGAGCGTTTAGACCCCTACCGGCTTTGCTTCCGTTGCGTTTTCCCTTTTTTGGCAGTGGAAAGAGCTCTTTTGCAGATGTTTTTTACGTATTTTTCAACTTACGAGCGAATTCACAGTGATTAGCGGTGGTCCCTGAAGTGAATTCGCAAAAAGGAAAAGAGGAGTAGGAAAGCAATTAGCCTCGAAACAAAGCAGGAAATTTTTGCTGAGCATGGAAAAGCGGCAAAATCCAGTGGGTCAGACTTCTCATCGTCTGGGAACGGATGAATGCTTTTACCATGTAATTCCTGTATTCGATTCACGGTCGTTTTCGTGGACCGGATTAGAAGGACTTCCGCACAGGGTTTAGATCTTCGAAGTACACGACATCGAAATCCTCGCTGCGCTAAGGCTCCGCGGTCGATTGCGGAATCTCCGCTGTCGGTTGCGACTGCTGTCGCATCGCCGAGCGGCGGGAGAGCGTTTTGCGGACTGTCCCAGAGGTCTGCGGTTCGAGGCCCCACGGACGGACGGCCCTCGTTCCACACTGCCTAGAGCCTGGGCAATTCTGTGGCGGCATCCACCATCTGGAAGCCATTATCCCGCTGCAAATTCGTGCGGCATTAAATTTGCACCACCTGTTCAGAGACTCTTTAAGACAGCGGTCCCCAACCTTTTTTGGCACCAGGGACCGGTTTCGTGGAAGAAGCTCTTCAGCGACGTTTGTATTTAATCATTTTGGTTACTAGGGGTTAGCTTGTGGGCTTACCAAAACTGTAACTGAGACGAGTGCGCAGTGCGGGAAAGGCGCGGACGGAACTGGTAAATAAGATAATGGGCGGGCCACGCGCGGACATCACCGCTCTCACCTCCTGCTGCTGTGCGGCCCGGGCCACGGACCGGTACCGGTCCGCGGCCTGGGGGTTGGGGGACCCCTGCTTTAAGAGGTCCCACACCTCTCCCTCTCTCTCTCGCCCGGCTCTCGAGCAACGCTGGGCTTGGCTTCCGCACCTCGTTGGGCTTGGCTCCGCCGCACATATATGTCCTGGAAATATTGCATTGTTGTTATTTATGAATACTGACCCCGATTTGGCAAAGTACCGTGCCAAGGTAGCGTGGTGGAGCAGTGAGAGTGGCATAGCATCCACTTTTGGGTTGCGTGTGGTGTGCCATGCCTGCAGGCGACCGGACAGCAGCTTTGGCCTGGACTGACATTCTGTCTGTGTTGAGTCAGTGCTGCACCCCATAATAGTTTAATTATTATTATTTTAGAAACCTTTTGGTGTTCGCGCCATCAGCCACGGTGGCTAGATGTTAGTGACCTCGCCTGGTATACAGAATAGTTGTGGGTTCATTCTCGACCCTGACACTGTATTTTCTCCCCGTGGTCGTGTGGATTTTTCTCCGGGTCCTCCGGTTTTTCCCTCCACATTTAGAATCGATGTGCGTTGGCTGCAGTACATTTCAACGTGAATAAGCCACTTCGTTGAGCTATCATTTGTGGCCGGGTCGTTTTTTGTAAAAAAAAATAGCTACATGGCTCATTGGGCATTACCTGGTCAAAATAAAAAAAATAGTTTAATAGTTTGAGTGTAGTGTGGTAGGCTTTGCGTACTGTTGTGATGCTAGCTAGGCCATCATGTACGTTGAACTTCTTTCGCACCGTACATAGCCAACCGTGTTAATCGGAGGCGCGTTAGCGGACGAGGCCGCTCCCAACGCGGCCCCTGGGCCGCGTCCTGGTGCCGACGTCACCTGCTCGTTGTCGTTGGCAGTGCGTGGGGGGAGGCGCTCTTCCTCATGCTGCAGACCGTCTCCATCGGATTCCTCATCCAGCACTACGGGGGACGGACTGGCAGGGGTGAGTGAATCGGAATCGGTGATCTTTATTCATCCTGGGGAAATCCCCAGAGCTGTGAAGCTCTTTATGTCCAGTAGGGGAACACGGGGTCAGAAAGCTACGACAACAAGCAGTACAACAACACAACAACGGTAGTGCCCGGCAAATACGATGGAACAACAATTCGCAACAACGGTATCGGTGCAAAGTGTAGGAACGGTAAGCATATCACTCACAATAAATACGGAAAATAGAATTAAGTATGCAAGTTCAAATTGCATACGTGCACCAATTCCCAAGCTTGGGCAAAGTAGCATAAGTGTTGGGGTGCAACTGACGACTCTGACACGGTTCTTTAGTAGGGGCTGATGCCAAGGTTTATTAAGGGCTTCTGCTGGTAACTTATTAAAGGCTTACGCCTAACAGGTCACAACCCTAATATCTCCCCCAGGGGAAAGGGTACTGGGAGGTCCCTAGCTCCACCCAGGCTATATGTGATCTCCCCCCCCCCCTCCCAGCACCGACCGAGGGATCATCCAACTCGGTCGGCCGGGTGAAGTTGTCACTCTCGCCTGGTGCTGATTCCCCCTGCCCTCGACTCCGACTCCCTAACTCTCTCCGTTCCTGGCCCTCCGCGACGACCCTCTCTACGTCACGGGTTCCCCCTTATATATCTCCCGTAACCTCTGACGTCATCCCTTGTCACCCCTCTGAGTGACATGACGTCCTCCACTACTCCTCTACATAAGCAAGAGCAAAAACAGTCCCAGACCACACCAAGACAACGCGCAGTCCCCCAATAAAATTGCACGTTAAAATTGCACGTTGGAATTGAACTTTCGCTACGCGGGCACCGCCCGCGGGTCCGGTTCTGGGCGCGACGATGGAATCGTGGACATTCGCGGCTGCGATTCGATCCGCCAACCGATTGTTTAACTCGACGCTTGTGTTCTCGAAGCCAATGTTTTCTTTGTTATCATTGTCGCTGTGCTTGTTTACGCAGGAAAGTCTCGCTAAGTCTCGAGAATATATATATTTTTTTTAATTGGGGTCTCGCGCCACGTTTTTTTGCAGTCGGTGGGGGTGATGTTGCTCCTGTGGGACGCTCGGCCCTCCACCACGTGACGAGTTAACGCCTGCACACGCGTAGATTTTCTCCGGGTTCTACCACATGTATAATCACTCATCAGTGGAGTTGGCCAAACGTCCCATTAAAGGATCACAGAGCTTGGGAAATTCCTGCTGCCGGTTCTGGCTGCCTTCCCCCGCTTTGTCTGTGGTTTTCCCCGTCCTTCTGTGCAAAAAAACTGCTCGGCGCGTTACAAATACCCCGGCTTTTCGAGATGCAATTTGCACGGAGGACAACAATGTGACATTGAATATTACGATCATTCGGCAACTTTCGCCATCTGCACAGGGAAGCAGTTTAGGTTTGACTCCGCCGTGACCCCCGCCGTTACCCACCTCCGTGACCCCCCCACCGTGACCCCCTGCCGTGACCCCCCCGCCGTGACCCCCTGCCGTGACCCCCCACCGTGACCCCCGGTGTTCCCCCCCGCCGTGACCCCCCACCGTGACCCCCCTCCGTGACCCCCCCGCCGTGACCCCCTGCCGTGACCCCCCACCGTGACCCCCCCACCGTGACCCCCCTCCGTGACCCCTCGCCGTGACCCCCCCCACCGTGACCCCCCACCGTGACCCCCCTCCGTGACTCCCCTCCGTGACCCCCCTCCGTGACCCACCTCCGTGACCCCCACCGTGACCCCCCACCGTGACCCCCCTCCGTGACCCCCCTCCGTGACCCACCTCCGTGACCCCCCCCACCGTGACCCACCTCCGTGACCCCCCTCCGTGACCCCCTCCGTGACCCCCCACCGTGACCCCCCTCCGTGACCCCCGCCGTGACCCCCCCACTGTGTCACCCCGCCGTGACCCCCCGCCGTGACCCCCGCCGTGACCCCGCCGTGACCCCACAGGATTGGCGTTCGTGGCCGTGTACGCCGCCGCGCTGCAGCTGCTGCTGTCGTCGCTGACGCCGCCGTCCTTCGTCACCTTAATGCAGGCGCTCAACATGCCGGCCATCATCTTCAGCAAGGCAGGGCCCCCCTCCCCCACCTACCCCCTCCTCCACCTAACCCTTCCCCCACCAATCACCAACCCCCTCCCCCACCGATCACCTACCCCCTCCCCCACCAATCACCTATCCCCTCCCCCACCAATCACCTATCCCCTCCCCTACCTACCCCCTCCCCCACCAATCACGTACCCTCTCCCCCACCCATCACCTACCCCAGCAACCCCCTCCCCCACCTACCCCCTCCCCCACCTACCCCCTCCCCCACCATTCACCTACCCCCTCCTCCACCTACCCCCTCCTCCACCTACCCCCTCCCCCACCTACCCCCTCCCCCACCTACCCCCTCCCCCACCTACACCCTCCCCCACCATTCACCTACGCCCTCCCCCACCAATCACCTATCCCCTCCCCCACCAATCACCTATCCCCTCCCCCACCAATCACCTATCCCCTCCCCTACCTACCCCCTCCCCCACCAATCACGTACCCTCTCCCCCACCGATCACCTACCCCAGCAACCCCCTCCCCCACCTACCCCCTCCTACTGTTACAATTTACTACCGCTGTTGGCTCTTTTCAGGAGCCACAAATGATAGCTCAACGTAGTCGTGATTGTTGTGCCATCGCTACAGCTGCTGCAGGTGGCCACCAACTACAGGAACGGCCACACAGGGCAGCTGTCGGCCATCACCGTGTTCCTGCTGCTGGGCGGCTCCCTTGCCCGCATCTTCACCTCCTTGCAGGTGCGAGCCCGCGTGGGTCGTCTGTCGGCTCTCTCGCAACCACCAGCGCCCTCGGCCTCGTCGTCGACCCCCCGACTGATCGCGACGCCCGTCCTGCACACGACGAAAAACCCGTCGGTGGCACGGTGCGGCGACGTGGTTTTATCGGCGCGCCGAGTTCGATTCCCGCTCGCTGCCAACACCGGCGACGATTATCCGAACCGGTCCTGGGCCTCCCCGAGGTCGACTCGGCCTCAATTGAGGACCTGGTGGGGTGTGTCAAACATCGCCACTGGGGAGACAAAGGTTGGCCGGGCGTGGTGCTGGCCACCCATCCCATTGTGCGCCGTGCCGGCCTTCATAGCTGCTCGCTAACAGCACCTGCCCCAACAGTTTGTTCGGGCTATAAGGGGGAATCGGTCAAGAGAAGTGTTTAGCGTGTTGCCCTTTGAACCCCGTCGACCTGAGTTCGATCTGAACCGGTGCTGCGCCTCTCCTCCGTCGACCCGGCCTTAAATGAATTCCTCGTGTGGTGTGCAAATCATCGTCACGGGGGAGACGAAGGCGGGCCGGGCGTGGTGTTGGCCACCCACTGCCTCGTGCACCATGCTGGACTTCAACAGTCTGTGAAAGGCTGTACAGGGGATGTTTGCCTTCGTATGCGCGCGTGTTGCCTGCACGCTGTGCCCGTGCGCCGCTCGTCTTACACGCCGCGTGCTTGCTGCGTCCGTGCAGGAGACGGGCGACCGCCTGCTGGTGGTCACGTACATCGTGGCCTCCCTGTGCAACGGCACGCTGGCCGCCCAGCTCCTCTACTACTGGAACGCGGGGCCTGGCGGCGCGGTGACCCCCGCCAAGAAGCGGCACTAGCTGCCGCCAATCCCCGACAGCTTCCCCTCCACAGCCCCAACCCTCAACCCTCAGCCGTGTTGTGTGGGAAACGTGTTTTGGGGCAGGTGGGGCTGTTTGGCAGGTGATTGAAGGGTTTTAATCCGTATTGAATGTGACGAGGTGCGAGGCGGCGGTGCCTGCTGGGGGTGGGGTGCGGCTCTCTTGCGACCCGGCGCTGCGGCAATTGGTTGGGAGGGGGGGGGGTAGCGAGGGCGCGAGTCTCCGTCCAGGTGAGGTGATACGGCGCGTCACCCCGCGGAATCCTGCCTAAACTCAAACTAGACTATGAACTGTTTTTTATAAGGCCCACTGAGCTGTGTAGCTCCTGGCCGCGGGCGATTGCCCCACGAAGTGGCTTATCGTCATCGGGTGGAAATTTCTAGCGGATAAAATACTCTGAAATGCACGGCCTTGATTCTAAATCTGGGATGAAAAACCGGAGGATGCGGAGGAAAATTCACGCGGCCACGGGGAGAGAGAGACATGCAAACTCCAAATATACAGGTGTCAAAGTTGGAAACGAACCCAACGACCTCCTGTATACCAGGCGAGAGAGATAACATCTCGCCACTGTGGCACAAGCCTGGATTAGGCCACTACGCAACGATCTGACCACATTTGTGTGCTTAAGAACCCTCCACCACCGGCCACGGCCAAGCAAATTAAATTTCCACGCGGCGTACGAGCGTTTAAACGATGTGCCGGTTATTTTTTTTAATTTCTTCGGCTCGCTCACCTTGGGCGAGTCGATGGGGAATTCCCGCGAGCAAATCTAACGGCGATTAAGACGCGGCGACGTTTCGCTTGAAACCGCGTCGGGGGTCCCATCCGGACAGGATCGAGGCAGTCGGAATAAAAATCCAGGAAGCACCATCGGAACATCGCTGCACGTGGCCAGGAGGGGCACTCAACGACGTGAGTGTACGTCAGTTTTTTCTTCCGATTGCGTTTCGATGACGTACACGAGCCGGCATGGAATCGGAAGGAAAACTAAAATAAAGTAACTTTATTGGTTCCGAGGATCCCACAAGGCCACGCGGGAGGCCAGTGTGGCACGGCTTGGCGCCAGCCATCGTAGAGTGAGGCGGCCGTGTCGCTACGGTTCTCTGCGGCGAGTACCAACAACGTCTTTACAGGCAGTGGCGCTACTACACCGCTCTGTATAAAATGAAGGCCGAGCCGCTTGCGCGTTGCGAGGTTCAGCGGTGAACGGGACACCCACCCTGCGGCTTGCAGGTGCCTCGGAATGGGAGAGGGGTAACTGTAACGTATGCAGTTGTCTTTGGCGGTTTGGAAGGGAAGCGGTGAGTGGAAGCTCAGATGTACACAATTTCGGTGGAATAAAATGACATTGTTTATAGAGGGGCCGGACAATAGTTCTTGAGGTGCGGTCCTCATGGGTCGGTCAACGCTGAACGCGCTCCCTACGCCAGTGGGCACAAAGCAAGCCCGGCACTTTCATTATCATCATCATCAGCCATGATCAGTCTACTGCCGGATGAAGTTTCAAATGCAACTTTTGTTTTTAACCAGGTGAGACGTGAAGAGATGCGGACGAGTCTTTAATTGGCAAGCGTGGTCACCAAAATGACAAAATCGAGACGAAATCAAGTGCAGCCAATGCAGCGTGCTCTTCGTAACAGTCAATTGTGAAAAGTGCTTGCCAACAAATGAACCGCGATAGCTTGCCGATCTTGTCTTGGGACGTAAACCATCGCGCAAACGCCGGTCATCCTCGCAGCGGCTTTTGGCAAACCATCGAAACAAAGACGGTGGTCACTGCATCCCGCGCTTTGGGATGCGCTTCTGCGGCCGCCTGGAACGTTCTTCCGATATTAGGAAGCCACCGCAGCTGTGAAGTTTGAAATCTCACTCGACAAACTCATTTTGAAATCTCACTCGACAAACTCATTTTGAAATCTCACTCGACAAACTCATTTTTACGACCGCTTTTTGTGTTTTGCTCGTTGTCCTCACACTTCGGATTAGCGCGGTTGGCTACGTGCGGCGCGGAAAAAGTTTCTGCACACACACAGTCGCCTCGCGTCTTTCGCGCGCGTTTACGTGACGCGATTTTGAAATGGCGCGTTGGATTATAATGTACACTTATTTCTGTTACGCGCGCAACTATTGTTCAAATAACGCGCTCCAGCTCGTTGGCCACAGTGTACGGAACGCGCGGCGCGCATCTTCGTTCGGCAGCAAAGTTCAGTGGCGATGCTGCCCGAGGTGCAGGAGTACGGCCACAAGCATAAGCGCGGGCAGCATCAATCGCCATCTCCTCGCGCAGCCATTCTGAAGATCTTGGCCGCGTGTCTCGTGTGACAACATTTGCACTCCCAATATGTGCGGTTAAGTGTTAAAAAATATTTTTTCTTTAATGTACGGCAGTGAAATAGGTCGACGCAAGAATGAGGTTCGAGAGCGTGCTCTCCTTCCCTAACCACAACTACCTTTATTTCTTGCAAGAAAAGTATGTTTTAACTTACGCGATTTTGTCAAAGAACCCGCCCCACCCACCCCCCCCCCCCCCCGAGTAAAAGGAGAGGTGGCCGTACGTTAAGCAATGTTACATTTTATATTCTTGGTTCTTTCGGTAAAGTCACCAAGGAGAAGGGAAACAATAAAATAATGAAAATATAAAACAATAAAATTCTCACGACGTTTCGACTGCAACCCAAGCAATCATCATCAGGTGGGAAAACCACAGCAAGAAAATTTGAAAAAAGTGGCGTTTTTTTATTTTTTTGCTGTGGTTTTCACACCTGATGATGATTGTGTTGGAGTCGAAACGTCGTGAGAATTTTTTTGTTTTATAATTTATTATGTTATTTTTTTCCCTTCTACGTGACTTTACCGAAAGAACCAAGACTATGAATCCCTGCAGTCACGAAAGCTTTAAATCAAAATTGAATGTTACATTATTAACATTGCTTTTATTTTCGATTTATTTAAATTTTAAAAATTTAATTTAATTTTACTATTTTTTATTTATTGTGGGTTTGTTGCTTTTATTATTTTCAAGGTATTAATTTTTTTGTTTTCTATTTACGCGACTTTACCGAAAGAACCAAGAATAGGAATTCCTGCAGTCACGAAAGTTTCAAGTCAAAAATTCGTCCGTAACATTGTGACGTCCCCAACGAGTTAAACACGCGCGTCGCCATGGCCAGGAGCTGTCGCTAGCGGGCGCGCTTCACCCACCCCAAGTGCAGCGCCACTCCCCGCTCTGGACTGGCAGCAAACTGGAACAACAACCTTCCATCAAGCCATGGTCAATCCACTGTTAAATGAAGGCCTCCCAAAGGCGTCGCCACGCCACGAACCCGTGATGTATTACCCGAGTCACCGGATCTTAAGCTAAAACAAGAACACTGTGTGAACTGGTATTGGCCGAAGAACATCCCAATTCTGGAAAATTACCTGTAAATGTCTCACTTGGGATTACGCGTGGCAGCGTTGCCCCAAAAACTTGACAGGACCATCCTAAAAGATAGTCTTAAGACCCCGGCTTTGCTGGGTAAACGAGCGGAGTTGTAAGACGCTCCAGAAAGTAATACGCACCCGTATTAATTTATACACATCTGGCCACAAACAAAGATCCCACATATAGCTGTAACAGGCTGTTGGGGAAAGTGCTGTTAGCGAGGAACACCGATGAAGGCCGGTACGGTACACGAGGGGGTGGGTGGCTTGCACCACTTCTGGCCGCCTTTGTCTCCCATATGGTGGTGTTTACACCACACCAGGTACTTATTTGAGTCCCAGGACCCATACTCTTTGGTTCTATTGGGTAAAGTCACGTAGGTAAAAAAATGTAATAACAAAAATCACGACGTTTCGGCCACAACACAAGCGGCCTTCATCAGGTGAAGGGACGAGACTGTCTGGAGGACAGCGCTGGAGTGAAAAAAGCCACGCTCAGATCACGACGGCCGCTTGTGTTGTGGCCGAAACGTCGTGATTTTTGTTATTTTATTTTTTTACCTACGTGACTTTACCCAATAGAACCAAAGAGTATGGATCCTAGCAGTCACGAAAGCTTTAAATCTAGCAGTGCCAGGACCGTTTCAGATAATCGTCGCCGATGTCGGCCGTGAGCAGTCGTCAAACTCGGGTCGCCGGGTTCGTAGCGGAGCGTGCCAACCGTGACACTGCCACCCCCTACAAATATGTGGCCACACACCCCTTTTGCTTTATATATACAGCATAGATATATAGGGGGTAAAAGTGTGGGTGGAAGGTTGTGGGTGGGGGGTTGTGGCAGTAGAGCCGTCGTGTGGGTGGGCACCGTGATAGTGTTTGATCCTGCGAGGGAGAGTCAACTCGGCTGGGCCCAAGGGACATTTGGTGGCCCGGGGGAGATCTGGTGGCCCGAGGGACATCTGGTGGCCCGGGGGACATTTGGTGGCCCGGGGGACATCTGGTGGCCCGGGGGACATTTGGTGGCCCGGGGGACATCTGGTGGCCCGGGGGACATCTGGTGGCCCGAGGGACGATTGGTTGCTCTGGGCCCACCCCAGCAGCGCCCCTCTAGTGCTGATCCTGGTCTCATACTGAGCAAGAAGTCACGGTCGATTCATACCCGCGTGAGCTGCCCATTGGTACCGAGTGGCGATAGCTTTTAATCCTTTACCTTGGAAGTCCCACTCTCACGGCGCTCGTTCGAAGACGGCGAGAGACGCGTGTAGTTCCCGCCCCCTCCCGCGCGGTGTGCAGGTCAGGACCTCGCTGTCGTCCTTCCCCGCGGCACCTCCGATTAGCACGCTTGGCTACGTACGGCGCGAAGGAAGTTTAGTATACACACAAGAGTTACGGCTGTGGCCATGCTTGTTGGTAAGCCCGACAGCCGCCGTCGCCCAAACATAGACGCAGGTCCAACGCCACACAGCTGCGGGATAAAAATACATCCATCCGCAGTCGCAGCAGCCTTGCCCTGGGGGCAGAGGAAACCTAAATACGCCCCTCCGCCTCTTCCTCGGTGGATTTCGCGAGCGCTATTTGCGTGGCGCGGCTGCGCGGGTCTGGAATTCGTGCAGCAGGGAGACGCGGTGGCCCGCGAGGATTTAGCGGATCAACCTCGGGGTGGCAACTCCTCGGTGCAATTCTGGTGCCCCCTGATCAATCCGCTGCTGGATGAAGGCCTCCTTCCCTCACCCCCCCCCGCCTACCATTGGCATATCGCACTATCGTGCGACGTAACAACAATCTACGTATTTAGCACCTTACAAATAAACATAGTTCATCGCTCCCTTCTTTTTTTTGGAAAATTTTAGTTTTTTTTTTAACTTGTATGTTTTGTGTTACCATCCTAAACCACCCAGAGGGGATCTCCCTCGGGGTGGTTTCGGGTGGCGGCGGCGACGCGGGTGGTGACATTCGCGCCTCGCAGCTAAACAAACGCTTCTGGTGCCTTTTCCGTGTGGAGTTAGTCCATTTTGTCTTTTCTTTCACTCTTCTCTCTCCCCTGCTGTTGTGGGCACGGGTTTAACTCAGGGCTCCAGCGGTTTCCCTTCATACCATCGCTGAGCCACGCACGTGTCCGATTGGAACCGGTGTTTCATCCCATAGCGAGAATAAAATAAAATAAAAACACCACGAGTCGTTCGATCTTGATTTGAAGCTTTCGTGACTGCGGGAATCCATACCCTTTGGTTGTTTCGGTAAAGTCCACGTAGTAGGTATGAAATAAAATAATAGATCACGACGTTTCGATCGCAACACAAGCATCCTCCTCCTGATGTGTTTGTTTCACATCTGATGACGGTTGCTTGTGTTGCGATCGAAACCTAGTGTTGGCCCAAAACATCCCAACGCTGAACAATTACTCGATTGGGAGCACATAAACAAATATTTTTTGTGTAGCCTCAACAGTCTGTAGGGGCAAGTGCTGTTAGCGAGCACCTATGAAGGCCGGAACGGTACACGAGGGGGTGGGTGGCCAACACCACGCCAGGCCGCCTTTGTCTCCCTAGCGGCGATGTTTACACATCGCACCAGGTACTCATTTGAGGCTGAGTCGACCTAGGGGAGGCCCGGGACCGGTTCAGATAATCGTCACTGGTGTTCGCCGTGAGCGAGAATCGAACCCCGGTCGCCAGGTTCGTAGCGTAGCGCACTAACCGCTACACTACCGCTCCCCACACAGACACACAGACATTCACACACACAGACACACACAGACACACGCACAGACAATACAACACAGACACACACAGACACACGCACAGACACACACACAGACAATACAACACAGAAGGGCACGGGAACGTATCAAGATGCGGCTGTCAATCGGGAACTGGTTGACAGCAGAGCCAAGTGACGCTGCCGTACACCTTGGCGAAGGGTGGGGGGGGCG